TGGCTACCCTGCTAAGTGTTTTGCCGCCTCCTCTCAACCACTAAACGCAACCCGACGTTACAATATGTGCCAGGGTTCCTGTAGAACTTGCACATTAGGTCATCTCTCGTGCCTCTGCTGTGCAGATTTGGATGGCTCCAACCTCCATAAGTCAACCCAAGTGTCAAAGAGCCCAAATGCAGACTCAGAAAAGGGCAATGGGATCAACCTGGACTTTATTTACTAAACTCAAGTGAAAACAGTACACACAGGAATTGTGGGTGGCACGTGGAACTCGAACGAGGGTCAGGAATCGTGTGTGGCATGGAACTTGAACAAGGGTCTTTTGCTAGCAAGTGGAGGGTGACTAGGAAAAAGCAATACTGGGCAGGTGAGTGTCCAGACAGATGAGAGGGAGTGGTTAGCATTTCCAGAGATGAGCAGCGTCCAGGTGAGTGAAAAGAAGTGCGAATGAGGAGTATGGTGAATCCGAGAAGCTACTAGAAACACAAGGAGAACAGGATAAGTTAGCATGAACAAGAGAAATCACAAGATGCAAAGGAGGCCTAATACTAACGTAGATCATGAGACGAACTGGTGAAGAAAAGTTGAATGCGCTGGTCTTAAATACTGATGGCTGATTATCCTGGATCACAGACAGATGAGCATGACAGGCGTGTGGATGAGGGCTCCGCCCAGAGGTGGGACTCAGTGGAAACGTGGAAAAACACAGCCACTCTCCTGGACCATGACACCAAGTCACCTTCCTCTTGGGGTTGATTGACCCACGTTGCCCCTGAGCCCTGGGAGGTAAGCTTGACTGCTCTTAACTTCCTCTGGTACTCCTCCATATTTCTCATTTCTGCCTGGATCATGGTTTTCCTCTTTGTTAAGTTAAACTTTTCCAGATTTTTGGAAGCATGTGATGCCCAGACTTTGTCATCCTGCACAGGGTGCTCGAATAAAGTTGGATTTTAAAGATTCCTTTCTCTTGGACCAGTGATTTAGAGTCCTTCCACTCTTGTCCTGATGTGGTTTTTAACCTACTTCTCTGACCTTGTTGTCTCTTGAATCTCTGAAGATGAAGGCAAACCTGCATTTGCCACTTTGAACTCTGCAATGAGAGATGACAGAGTAGTTGTAGTTGCCCAGATGTAGAGCCCGACTGGAGTAAAACTTGGAGCCAGCTTCTTAGGTGCTCAATGATCTTTCGTTCCACTCCTTCCACTGCTGTAAGCTGGACTTTATACACTATCAGAAACCACATCAACCTTGGAAGCAAGCGTTGTTGATACAGCCATGTCTGAAACTTCCCCAGGAGCCCAGATTTATCAGTAGTCTTCAACCACCCCTATGCTTTCTCTTCAGTATTGTGGATGCTGCTGCTGTCCCTTAGTCATCGTAGTCTGTGTTGCCACCTCATCAAGCTTGGTTAGGACCAATTTTGCCTGCACATGGGAAGATGTTGTGATTATAAGGTCATCCACGAAGTCCTTTATCACTGTTATCAGATGCTTCAGTTCTTCGCCGAGTCTCTGGTTACATTTTTCATGAGGTTCATAACAGGATGATAGGCTGGGGGAGACTGCACAACCAGTGACAATCGTTTTCTCGTGGTGCTGCCACTGGGTGATGCAGTTTGTGGTCTTGAAGCGGAGCTTGATCCCTCGCAGGTAGCTACAGATCATTCCCTTGATGCGGTCTGGGACGTGGTAATACTTTATGGCTATTCTGACAAGATTGTGAGGAATGTCTACAAAGTCCAGCCAGACTACTGTCAGATTGCTTTTCTTTGACCTGGCTTCATGTGTCATCTGGCCTAGGACTCCTCTGTGTTCCAGGCATCCCGTGAAGCATGGAATGCCTCTCTTTTGGATCAAGGTGTTCACATATCCATTTTCCATCATGTATGGAGTCATTCTCCTCTCCAATATTCAAGGCTGAGCAGGATAATGGTTCTAAATTGGCTTATGCTTTGTTAGCTGTTTTATGCTTCCCATTAACCTATTTTTGAGTCTCTTTCTTAAAAGAAATTGAGCTTTTCAAAAACAGTAAGGAAGGTTTATTTCAAAGTGTAACAATGTTTAGGCAATGCATACATCATCATTTTACAGAGAACGTCTTCACAACATTACAGAATTTTCCGAAATGGCGATAAACTTTGACATTTAGAGAAAAAGGAATTGGGGCAGGGAAGTGTTCATGTGTGTGTTGTGTGTGTGTTTGTGGTGGCGGGGGTGGGATGAGGCATGTTTTTCCTCAAAAGACTTTAAGCTATGTGGTTCAGGTTCAGATTCAGGAAGTGAAAATTTAGAGGGTTGTTGGTGTGTGTGTGTAGTCTGATTGGTGCTGACAGGGAAGTATGAGGTGCACAGGGATGTGGAGGGGGGGATGACTGAGACATAAAGAGGAAAGAGGAAAATGATGAGGAAATCAAACAGGATATATCGTCTGCACTGCAGAATCGGACGTTTTTTTTCCATTTGAAAACATAAATGTTTGGTTCCAATTAAAAACGCTGCGATCGCTGCAGTAAAGTGCTGAGGAGAAACCAATGTGGTCCATCCACAAAAACTACTTATAAACAAGAGTGGGAGTGCAGAAACCCACGGCTAGAAATACACACTGTTTGCATTGTAGCAAGGAATATTACGGAAACCAGCAGCGTATGAGAGAATGGAAGTTATATTTCCAGAAGGATATAAAAGTAAAACAAACCCAATACTAAAAGCTTTTAGATATTAAACTGAACTCTTAAATGTAACTTTCAGTTTGACACCATTCACCTCTCTTTTGCAGTCAGACACCAAATAACCAGAACTCTCTTTTTTTTTCTTTTTTTCCGAGGTTAACCTGGAACGACTCCCTTGAAAATTGATGTTGGATCTTTTCCATGTTTCTGCAGAGTTCTGCTTTTGGTGTCACACAACTGATTTAATATCTGGCTTTTATAAATTCACTGTAATAAAAATGAAGCCACAAAAGGGTAAAAGGACAGACTACAGCAATGACTCTCAGTCGTTTTTGTCAGACCCATGCATACCCACAGTGCCCAGATGAGCTCTGGTAACCCTTTCACTGGTTGCCTTTGTTATAAATAATTTTATACAATAAAGGGTCCGTTTTTAGGGCCAGTTTGTTAAATTCTGACCCTGATACTACAATATTAACGCATACTGTGGGTGATGAAGTCATTTATCCATATTGCATAAATGGATAGATGACATTCATTTCCTTTTCTTAATTTATACTTAATTTTAGCTGTTTAACACTCACAATATAGCCCATTGGTATTTACCCTCTACTGTTAATCCATAACTTTCAGTTCACTATTTCTTACTTTTAGGTATCTGTTTTAACCATTTACTAACTGGTTAAAATACAAAAATGATAAATGTGAAGTAACATATGTGGTTGCTTTTGCTGTCGTGGGTCCTTTAGCTTAGCCCTTAGCAGCAGCCTCATCGCTGCTCTTTCATGTTTTAACTTTGTCCCGATGCTTCTTTCCTTTTGATATAAACTTTCATTGGCTCTTCATTTCAGTACCAGCTAACTTTTTGAACCTATTAGCATTTAACTTATGTAGTAGATTAGTTAGGGCTTGCATGGTGGTGCAAAGGTTAGCACTGTTACCTTACAACAAGAAGCGTCTGGGTTTGAATCTGCCAGGAGGCTGACGTGTCTGATATCCCTGTGTTGGTGTTCTCACTGCATTATCATAATGATGTCAGTCCAGTATCAAAATTGCAACTGACGAAGCACGTTGTTGTGATCGCATAACTTTAAAATATGGAGAAAAAAGTAAAACCATACCTTTGTTAAAATAAACCTCTCTTCTAAAACAAATGGCCAGCATTTCAAGTGTTTTCTTTGTTCATTTATAAAATATAACAAACATATTATCGGGTTAGTTTTGCTGTTAGCCAAATTTAGTTTATTTATCTTGGTTTGCTAACTTAGCTAACTTTTTGGCTAATGCTAACTGAATGCTAACTAACTCAGACAACGTCACTGGTCGGGTGCAATGCTGATCCTGGGCCAGCGTTATTATGATGATGTAGGAACAACACTGACACGAGGATATCAGACTGTGCATGGGGCTTTTCTGTGTAGAGAGAGGTGTCGAAGGTGTGCACGTCCTCTCACAGCGCTCCTACAATGCCACACTTTGTAAGAAAATGGCTTTCTGTTACCTCTCTGAAACTGCAGAGTTATATCCTGGTGTACAAGAATCTCTGGTTGGACGTCACTGGTCTGCAATCAGTAGTGCTAATGTTGCACACTGTTTACCGCATTGAGAGGGCTGATTAGCAGAAGGGTTTAATAATCTATTTTGTAACTTGGAGATGACTTTGTGAAGCTCCATGTGTTCAGGTGCAGGGTAGCATCTTCAATAAAAGTAGAAAATGTTTTACTAACATGAGCAGGTTCATTTGAGAGGTGTGAATATCCATGACAGAGGATTTCTCAGGCATGAAAGTATTTGGATCTCCTTCTAAGAGGTTTCAGTCAGATTTAAAGGAAATCACTAAGTGTAATAAGATTATCTGTTGAAAATTTGGGTTTTAGTCATGCATATACAGTTTCTTTGTTAGTTTTTTCGGGGCCACTTATCTCACCCCTCGCCCTATGGCAACTGGGATTGGCTCCAGCACTGCTGTGACCCTGAATTGGATTAATGAAAGCTTTTCAAATGGTCACAAAGAACAGAAAATGCATAGATTTCTGCCAAATAAGATAACACTGAGTTTGCTGTACGTGAACCGATTGTGCCTACATGCGCAGTCGACCATTAAAGACCCATCATCAGCCACAACGATGACTGCAAAACAAAAACATCCAGCTGAGGCTGACAGGAAACGGCTGTTTTTATATGAATTCGCTCAGGGGTGAATGAAAGCGTGTACCAATTTCATGGCAGTGCATTTCATTTTTGTGATGTTCTTTCTGTTAGTTCTTTGTGAATAACTTACATAAGCATCTATACTTTGCCAACGTGATGAAAAAAAAAGGAAAATGTATTAACTTCATTTATAATACAGCTTTATCTGTATTTTGGCTGAATAATTAACAGTTTTATCAGGTTATTTCTTGAAAAATGGTCATCAATCAGGTGAAGAAGAGGGAGTAAGGACAAGCTATATTTAAAGCTCTATGCTTCGCTCGGTATAACTTGCACAACAAAGTATACAAACAATCATTTTAACCTTACAAAAAGATAACAAATTCACATCCATGGCATTTAAAACACCGCCCAAACCATCTCCTTGATAAAATGTAAAATGTGTGTAAAATATATCCAAAGTATTTAAAGAAAATGCTTGCATTGATATTATAAAATCAGTATAAACAGAAACAAAATTGATTTGTAAGATTTCATACACACTGACGCTACATTGTATAAAATATATGACAACTCGTGTAGGCCGCTTGCAGATGTGCTCTCAGCTGTGGAAGTGGAAGGTGCATGCACAGCTTTACTCATAGTCTTATAAAGAGTTTAAGCACAATTTATAGCGTAATACACAGGCTAAGATGAACATCCAAGGAGTTTTCTTCTGCTTCTTCTTTTTTATATGAAGCCCTTTATCTACAGAACAGCTCCCATCACATCTGTTCCCTCGGCAGACATTCACTGCGGGCCTTGGTTTTATTCCAAAAATCTGCGTTCCAAAACAGCTCTGCAGTCCAGAGGGAAAAAAAATCCACAACAGCTTCCCCAAATGTCAGGGTTTGTCTTTCAAATTAACGTCTTTGGGAAGAAGCCGTAGCATTAAGCGATGCCTCGACCGCTTATGACAGCTTCACCATTTATAAAACAATCTTGTCCGCACAAAAACAAGTTAGTTCTCTGATGAGTCTGTTTACTCGTTAAAACAAACAAACAAAAACAAACAAAAAGTTTCCACAGTGCGCTTCAGTTAACTTTAAAGATGCTAAAGACGTGAGGCGAGGCGGAGGGATTGCCTACGCTGTGGAGTCTGAAGGACGGGCCCGTAATGGCCTGCAGCTCCGTGCCTTTGTCCAGTCGCAGGAGGCCGGACACCTGGCAGGGCTTCAGGAAGTGGAAAGGGTGCGGCCCGGCAGAGGGGGTTGTCCCGTAGCCTTCCATGCATTGCAGCTTCTGAGCCCTCAAGCCAAGGGTCACCACGTCCAGCTTCACGTACTGAGACTGCTGCTCGTTGAACAACACCTGAATGGACAGAGAAGATGATCTCTCATGAACAGGTCAGCAGAGGGAGAACTTGTTTCTGGAGTATTCATGTGAAACCCAAGCACACTGTCTCGGGATTTCATGACTTTTTCTTTCTCTTTTTTTTTTTTCCTTTTGCTTAGATTTTCTCCAGACTTCTGTCAGCCTGACAAGGAGGAAGGCCTGGATACTTGAGATTACCCAAAACCTGATACCCAGCTCTCCAAAAACATGATTCATACATCTACACTATGACTGCTCGAGCTAAATAAAGCTTGCTTCTAGCTTTGCATGCAGACTTTTTTAATTCACCCTACTATCCAACCATCCATGCATTTTCTTCCACCTATCCAATTCAGAGTCACAGGGGGGCTGGAGCCTAATTCACCAGACTAAAAGTAAGAAATGTATTTTTATAGGTGTGATGCTTTAACCTGGATCTCTGTTTTATTTAAGATGTTTTCAGCTGGATTCATCTTTCTCAGAATCGTCAGTGTTTGAACTTTGTCTTAACCATCCCATGAACCCGTTTCAGTTTACTTTAATTTCACTTTAAATTATTACCCAACCATAGTCTGAAATTGTTTTTTGAAATTAAGTTGGCAGGATAAAAATATAGAATTTTGTGAAATAATATAAAGATACCTAATCAACTTTAAAGCTGCATTTATACCTTTGGGACAAAACATTTTCATTTTGACTCTGTTTTGGTCTTTTACATAGACTGTATATAAAAGATGGATGTGCCCATCGCAAACACGAAGTATGACACAGTATGTGGTTTCAGAAGAAGTCAGGTTAAAGGGAAGTCATATAATGAAGTACTTCATTATATGACTTTGTAAAAAAAAAAAGTTAAAAAAAGATGAATTTATGTCATCAGTCACCAGCAGATGACAAAGACTTTGATTTTTTTGATTTGTTTCCTGTAAGAGTGTACTCCTCTTACTGCGAATATGGGTTTCTTAATCATTTTGTCATAAAAGGAATTAAACAGAGCTGCCCGTTCCAGGAAATAATTCACTGTCAGCGAAAACTGAATTCCCTAAAAATACATTACACAATGTCGACTTTGTTTGCTGCATTACATACTGGCTAATGCGTAACTGTAAACAGTACAAAGCCTCAGGGTTTAAAGAGTGAAGCCAATGGAGAAGTAACTTAGCTTGTGTTCTTTTTAATAGTCACCAGGGGGCGATACAGGTACAAAAATAATTCTAATCCTATATACATTTAAGGCAAAATGTCTCTTTCTTGACCTCTTTAAACACTTTCCTGTTGAGTTTATGGACTTAGTCACTCATTTGAATTAAAAACTTAAGTAAACATTTGTCATACCAAGTTCCAGAAAGGAGGATTAGCCAAGGTGTGCTTGCTGACTAACAACTTGTGAGGTATAATTCATTAGCCAGTGATTTTTGTTTTGTAACATTACTGCAAAAATATTGTTTTACAGTAGCATTATGAATTTTAAAACCTTAAGCAGAGGACATTAATACTGTGCAACCAAATTTTCTTTGAAGGGTTTATATTAAAAGTGAACAGCTAGATAGCTAGCTTAGTTAGCAAGGTATGCTAACTAAGCTAGCTAGCGCAAGCGGATCGGCTCCAGTCCAATTATGTTCTTCAGCAACCAGTGCAAATTTTGATTTAATTTTAGTCATAAGTCTAAAGTCATAGTCAGTTTTAATCGAATAAATCTCATAAAATTATAGTAAATATTAAATCTAAAGGTGATTCAGTTGATTAAAATATGAAGCGTAAAAGTGTGGCGTAGTTTGGTGTCCTACTTTTATTGACATCAAATGTGAAATGTGTCCATATGTCTGCTCTTGTCTTTGTCAAAAGCACTAACATTTTGTCACATTTTAATGAGAAACAGGGAGATTTCTGAGTTCTGTTTCCAAAAAAAAGCTGTACCGTTGCCCGAGGGCTGATCGATTGTTAGCATCTAACCACTGGATCGCTGCCAAACACGTTCTGCCTTTCTACAACTTAATTATTTGTCTTTGGATCTCATCTCTCCAGAATATTTTCATCTCGTTCCTATTCGCAGACGTAAGCATCAGTAAAATTATTTCTCTCAATGAAAAAGGTCGTTGAGAGAAATTACTTGACAATGAAATTAACACTGATGGAAAATTGAACTTAAAAAAAAAAAAAAAAAAGATGTGGGCATCTTTTATTTACAGTTCACCAGAACCTGAGGGAAATATCTGGATCTTTACTTCATCTTTGCTTGCATATCACTGTGTACATCAGCTAGCTGCCAACTGGGAACCATTTTGATTTTGTACAGTTTATCACACACAAACAGGCAGGACTAACCTGGTGTTTTTTTCTTTTGTGTAAAGAGAAAACATGCTAACTCCACTCAGAGGCGCTCTGTCTGGGTTCAAAGCACACCACTGAGCTGCCTTTAATACTGCCCACATTCATTTGAGGCATTATTAATGGAAAAGTTGTGACTGGTTCAGCTTTAAGGTAGAGGTGCGGCTGCCAGACAGTCCCAGACTAATGCTGGGTTAGCTTAGATAAGCCCAGACTCCTTGTTTAATAGCCACACCTTGTATGCAGAGTTTGCAGCTCAAAATAAACTATCGCTCCCAGCAGAAACTCACCTGGCAAAACAGGAAGTAGACGCCTGCTTTCTCCACGGTGAAGGTGCCCTGCTCCTTGTTGTACCTCACCGCTTTACTCATATTCAGCGTCCTCTCTTCCCAGCCCTTGATCACCCCACCTTCTCCCACTGTTAGACACACGCACACACATCCCAGGTCATTCCTCTCAGAGACAAAAGATTCAAAGATCAACCTCTGTCCTTCACTCTTACCTTGCTGAGAGGAGACTTTGGTTACTGACGGAAAGCAAAAGCGATTTTGAAAGAAAAGGAAAAGGGAAAGTGAATTAAGATTTTATGAGTGCAATCGTATAGGGGTATATGATTGAAAACACTTCAGCAGATGCTACACGAGACAGCTACGAGAGATCTGCCAAGCCACTTACTCTCAAAATGAGACGCCGCTTTCCTTCCATTTCCACTCCTCCCTGCTTTCGACGTCCTCTCTGTAAAAGGGAGGCAGGAAAGGAGACTGAATGCACATAAAAATGACGTCTGTGGGGTTTTTTCTTGAAAAATTTATTTGGACAAAGCAATCATCCCCATCTCTATCTGTCTAATAACATGAAGCGTTAATTTGGTGCCATTCAGATCCAGACCTGGCTGGCTCTAACAGGGTTAGCAGATGGGTAAAGGATTTCCTTTCACGTGCTTCAATAATATTTCCTCAAACTATTATTTTCGGTCAGAAGCGCGTGCCTCCTCACCACCACACGCACACACACGTTTAGCAGCTAATCTTGGAGCCAGTTGGTCGCAGTCATGTAGAAAATACTGAATACAGAGATTGGATGGAAGGAAGGAGGCTGGAGAGATCTGATTGGAAGGAAGGGTGAAAAAAAATTAGAAAACCAATAAAACCCCTAAGATGGACAGGGGGAAAGTGACTGATAAAGCAGAAAAGGACAGGCATTAAAAGGCAAAGCTGAAGAACTAAAAGGCTAAGCAAGAAAAATGAAGTGCAGGAACAGGAGAGTCAAAGAGGGTCTTTGGCTGCAGCAAGACAGAGTGAAGCAACAGCCAGCTTCATCCAAGAACAAGCTCAGATAGCTGCAATAAATAAAGCACAGCACTGATGACCGCCTGCTCTTATTCCCCACTAAAAGTTTTTTTAGGGTTTTTTTGCCTTACAATCCAGCCGATTTCAAACACTGATACAACTCTGTGTATGAACTGTGAATTACACACTTTATGTTTCAGGATGAGACGGGCCAAACGCCCCCCACCGTCATCATTCGGGAATATTGAGCCCCTGTGAAAATAACTCACACGTGGGTGACCCTGTGGACTTTGGATTTGCTATGGCCGAGCGTAAAGCCCTCAGGCTGGCCAGATTTCCTCGACTTAAGCTGTCGGTCTTTTCAGAGGAGAACATAACAGCAGTGTCCTGCTGAAAGGCAAGACTGGAAAAAGCTGTTTGCTCTTCTTATTCCCTCGTTTTTCTTCTTTTTTTCCATTGACAGCCATGAGTTTCTGACAGTTTAATGAGATATTAGTTACTAAAACCAATAAGCTAGCACTTAGAGGATATCAATACAGATACACTGGTGAAATCTAGACTCTAATCCCCTTTAAAAAGCCCTCGTGTGGGTTCACTCTCGGGCAAAACGTGGACAATCAAGCAGTCCCGTGATGGTGACGCAAGCAGAGGCTATAAATACAGCAATGATAGGTCATCAAATATCACCGCTTTCACAACAAATCATAGCTGTGTCAGTCGTGTGTTCTGGCGGTGGGGAAAAAAATCAATTTCATTGCCCGAAAGCGTGCAACAAGGCCCCCAGCGCCCGCGCCAGCTGCTTTTTTTCTGGGACTCGAGGCCGCTCTGGTCAGACCTGTAATTTCTGAAACAGTCTTCCAGCTGCCTACTTTTTCCTGTGTCAACTTTTAGCAGCGGGTAGTGCCTGCGGCCCGCGAGACCTGACCAAAGTGGCATGTGGGGCCAAGACTGGCCAGCGCTCTGCGTTAAATGTTCTTCCTAAAAAAACAACAGTTGGTAAGGAGACTGTGTCTGTGGCAATTTGGAGAGCTGAAAGGACAGGACGTCTTATACATGCCGGTGGTGCTGCAGTGCAAGAAAAATGTCAGGCTTTGGCAGGCTTTTGAGACGCAGTACCATCTAGATTTGGGCGGATTGGGCCTAATATCGATAGTATCGATACAAATGCTGGTATTGGCGCGATAGGATCGCATTAATGTCCTACTAAGTTCAGTGTGTAGCCAACTGAATTGTGTTAAATAATTTTATTGGAAAAGGAAAAATATCAAACATCTACTGTGAAAAATGGCCTAACGTCTGTTTTAATTACAGACTTCGGCACATTTAAACAACAGAAGTTAATGTGCTTTAGAGATGGACACATTTAGACTCCAGGTCCTTAAAAAATCACTTTCAAAATACATGAAAAGATGAAAGGTGTGTTTTCTCTTAGTAACTACTCATCACTAACCATTTAAATGTGTTAGGAATTAGCAAATTGATGATTCATCTCATAAATCTGCTACATAAGCTGCCTTTAGAGGTTAAAAGTATTGCTGAAACACTGGCCATGAATTTACTTGGTATGGGATCGATACCAAATTAGCAGTATATCACAGCACTAGTACCATCTCTCTTCACTCGATGCCCCACCAGCAGCTCTCTCTTCTCCAGGATCAGCTGAACAATGGCCTTCCTCTGTTTGTTGACCTGTTGAAACACACAGAAAAAACCAAGCTATTAACAAACGGCCAGTTATTTTTCTCATAACTTTTTTTTTCTGGCACAGAACCCACTCACGGCCACAGACAGCCTTTATTTCCTGCCAGCCACATAAGCAGCAGACTGTCTCTGGCAGTATCCTGCCCCCTTTGCTGCCATTCTAGCTGTAAATCTACCACTTCCTCAGCGACTGGTTGCGACACCTAATGCATGTTTTCAGCACTTCGAATTCTTCACATGTCATTTTTTTTCCGCAAAAAAGAAATTGATTTTGTCAAGCCAGACAGGATTTAAACCCTCAACTGGAAGGTGGCTGGGGGGGAGACTCCACTGGGTGACCGAAGGAGGCCTAAATCGAGTAAGAGGAGAAGCTGCTCCAGAGGAGGGGGGAAGAAGTATGTTTAAATTTACTGCTACTGTGGAAAAGCAGGCCGAGAGAGCTGCAGTGCACCCTCCAGACGTTCACTCACTGGGCTCTCATCAGAAGTTGGCTAACGGCAAATGGACAGAACAGGGGCCCCCTTGGGGAGGGCTCCAGCAACACTCCACGTGTCCAATTTTGGGGGGTATTTGTGTTATGTGCAGGTTTCTTGCCCCCCCTCTCTTTCTCCTGATATAAAATCCATTGCAATCTGGTTTTGTGAAATACACTGAACTCAAAAACAGAAAAAAAAAAACAAGAAGAATTTCCATTCTGGCTCCTTTAGGAAATTTATTTGTCTTGTGATGCAATCTAGTGTCGGATATTTGCTGCAAGTGCAAAACAGAAAAAGAAGGAGAGTGGAAAAAAGTTTAGGAAAGCTGCACTTTGCAGGAGATTTAGAAGCGTTTGCTTGTGCGGGCTGAAAATGATTTACACTTGCCACGCTTTATCGTGCAGCCCGTTTCACGCCTCGAGTCCCCGGCAGACTCGAGGCAGTGGGGTGAGCGGGCATACGCCAAATAGCTGAGGCTTTCCAGTAAAATTAGATTAAAAAAAAAAAGGAGCACAACTGGCACCAGAGTAATTAATCATGATCCCCCACCCGGGGAGAATGGGGGTGGAGGTGGTTAACAGGGGGAGGCGGACACAAAAACAAGCAACAACTCGGCACAATTTGACTGCGTTTATTGCCGAGTAATAAAAGTGCCAAGCAGAGAAATGGTGCGAGAGAATAAGTAGTCTACGTGCGAGGGGCGAGAGAAAAGGGGGAGGGTGAAGTGTGGATTTGTCCATATGCCCCCAGCCAAGATTCCCGTAACCGCAGCCACAAAAGAAGTTACATAAGAAACACTTGATGGTCTTTCAAAAAAAAAAGTTGCAGGAGAGTAAATATTATTGTTGGTGCAAAAACGGAGAGGGGCTGTCTGCACGCTCGAATTATTAAGGTCTTTTTCTAAAGTATGACACAAACCTGCTCGAGTCGGTCCTGCAGGATCTTGAAGGACTGAGACAGGTCCCGCGTCTGTCGCAAAGTCCACGCCGTAAACAGCGCGCTGCATGCGGCCAGAGACAGAGCCACCAGGGCCAGAGAAGCCCAGACGACCCGCAGCCTGCGTACTCGTCTCCTCTGCAGAATCCGATGCATATTGGTGCAGACTGCGCTGCTAATCACCGCCGCAGACCATCCGAAATCCCCCGCTTCAACTCCATTCCAGCAGAGCATGAAGTCCCTCCAAATGCATTTCAGTCCAAATGTCCAGTCTGGCAATAAGAGGACAGGCTGTGACCGCTCTGTAGGATCTGCTCTTTAACTTTTAGCTTTATCTGACAGATGAGTTTGAAAGCAAAGCAGCAAAAACATCTGATCAAATCACGGCCACCATCCTCCGTGTGTGCAGGCCGTCTCCAAATACAAGAAAACTGTGCAACTGGCGCACATCAACTGTTGCATCCTTCTCCTTGTGATTCGTTGACTCAGCTCTCTTGTCTTCCCTTTAAACGGCGTGCTGGGGGGTCAGTCTATTAGACAGACAGACCGAGCACACATGAATGTACACACACGCGCTGAGAGAGACGCACACACACGCAGCCACACACTCTCTGCTGGAGGCGAACTTTGCCTGCGCCCTGAATTTTTGATACCAGCTGGCAGCCGCCGTGAAAATCGACGAGGGGAGCGCACGGAAAGCTTTACGCGAGGCTTCCGCTGCTTGTCAAATCACTCTCATCAACTCCAAATATGTGCCATTCATGTCCGCGACAGTGCCGTGTGCAACCACACGGTGGCTGTATAGACTCACGATCTGCACGCTGCACGTTTGGTTTCCACTGTGCCATCAACAGGTGAGCCAGAGAGCAAAGTTTTCATTCATAATTGAATTTATAAAAAGAAAAGGAAAAAAAGATAAACCGTTCCAGGGAACAAAAGGACAGTGGGTTCAAACAGGAGTACCAGCTCCTTCTATACAAAGCACAGAGGTTCTTATCTTCAGAGAATTTCACGTGGTGACACTGTGTCCTGACCACTAGATCTCTGCAACTCCTAAAATATTTTCTGGAGAGCGCGTTGAATCATTTTAAACAAGCACGCTGCTGAAGCCACATTTACAAAATGACGCTGTTCATTAAAATAGCAGGGGTATGAGGCGCTTTTCAGAGCTCTAGTGCCTTTTTACGAGGCCCCACACAGCAGGCACCATATCAAACAGTAAATTAAAATCAAACTTGAATTTAAAAGTAGCCCGAGGAGTCACGCTGATGCTTTTCTTAAAGAAGAACAAACCTTTCATTGCTCACATACTGTCTTCTTCTTCTTTCCAGCCTTTGTTGGACAGCACTGCTGGCACCTCACCTGCCGATCTGAACGTCTAACGCACGCACACGTATGTGAGAATGAGCATCCTTGTGCACATTTGTGTGAAAATGAAGGGTTATGGTTAAAATAACTTCCTGCCCAAAAAGATTAGAATAAATCTACAGTTTTCCAGTGAACATATAGGTGAACACAGAGACTTTTGGAATAACATGCTCTGGGCAGCCCAATGAAAGACAGAGCTGTTTGGCCACAGGAGCAGTAGACTTGTTTGGACCCAATGTGGCTTTTCAGGAGAAGAACCATCTGTAAAGTATAGCGGTGGAAATGTTTTTATTTGGGGTTTCTTGCTTCAAACTTTGGTGAGTTTGCAGTCATTGATTCAGAGTGAATGTTGATCAGGAGCACGCAGCAAATCCGCAAAGGCCCACTTGCAGGAATGGAAGAAAACCCTTAAATGTACTGCACGGAAGGACGGTCTAACATTTCAGCAAGCAGATGCCAAGCGCTGTGGACGATTATGCAAATGTTACATCTATTGATAAATATATATTTTTTTGTTTGCATCCTAGTATATCACGTTTATTTGCAGGCACTGTATCGAAGAAGATGAAATGTTGAATATGATTCAAAAACATGGAACGTCTCCATTTCACAAGTGTATGTATCAGAGTCATGTGATGAACTGTCCAGAGTGTACCCCGCCTTATGACAGCTACTGTGGATGGGATGCGTGGGAGAGTCACCAAACAGGGACTGAGAAATACCCCTGCTTAGCACTACTCATGGTTAAAACTCCACAGAAATGTGACTCGTCCTCACATGGCGAATAGAACAATGTGAGCTGCAGCGCCTTGAGGCAGTTAAATTGAATAACTACCAGTGGACTTTTCTGTTTTAGCTTTTCATGGCTTATTAGCAGCAGGTACTTGTACTTTGATCTGTGCATGTCCTGTTAAATATAGCAGAGGTCTGTATATTTATGTGGAGGCTAAAGTATTCAAAACTGTGTAAAAAGTCAAAGACAGAGTTTGGTCGCTTGCAGCGATCTTGAAAGTCAACATTTGTTACAACATCTTTATTCTTCAACACAGTCTGAACTCTGTTCTCTGTCAAGATGATCCCACACTGCTTCTATGATGTTGACGTCTGGCTCTGGGGAGGCCAATCCATGGCTGATAGTGTCCCACTGTGTGTTTTATTGCTTTGGCAGTATGTTTGGGTCATGCTCAGATGCTTTCCAGTATTGCATGGTGGATAAAAATCTAAATGTACCTCATAACTGTATCTTTTTCATGAGCTGTTTTTAAGGCCACACTGCACACCGTGCAGAGATGTGCTAAGTTTTTGGCTAATGGCTCTTTGGGAATCGGCATGTTATTTTGTGTCTGTCGAACTTTGTTATCCTTGATATTTTTCATAGATTCAGCTAAAGAAATGGGAACAAATTATGTGTTTTTGTGCCTAAAAGTACAATTTAAAATTGGTTCTTTGCTAAGTTGTCTGTTTGGTGTTGACACAGCAGTGGTTCGTCCCTTCAGTCCCTGAGTTAAAGAGCCTTTTTTTAGTCTTGACTGATTTATATGTTTGTCTTGTGGCTTAACAAACAAACCAAACATTTCTCTGATGATGACCAAATACAAGGACTGGACTGAAAATGAGTGAAAAAGCAGCCAAAGAAGAACATTGAAAGAGCTTCAAAAAGCCTGGAGAACTATTCCTCAAGAGCACTTCAAAGAATGTCTGCAAAGCCTGGCTGCTCGGAAGTAAAACACAAAGAAATCAGGACTAAATCAAGACTTTTGCATAGTATGTATTGAGCATAGTTGGAGAAAAAATGACACCAAACTGGGATTTTTAAAAATGGGTGATGTCAGTACGCCCCCTATTGGCTAAATTGAGCTGCATTAAAGTTTTAGCTCTGGATAGCACAGCTCATCTACTTTGTAGTAATATTAAATCTATATGTCTGATGTTAATAAAAGAAAGACAAACAGACTAAAGAAGAAATGCGCAGCTACACATGCACGTCACCTTGAATTCTGACAGATTTTATTACTCTAATCAAACCAACAGGTGGACAGTTTCTGGTTTTCAAGACAGTCACAGCATGAAACCACTGACTCTCGTACATGTTGAGTGTTTTATTCATTGTTTGTTTTTACACACAGCAAATGACCCAAAATTCAAGCATCTACCTTTTGTGGCAATTTCATGGCTTCGAATATCAGATGAAAAACTTATGGATCCATTTTTGGTGATTTTCTTTTCAGTGTTTTGACTTCAGCTGAGGAATTTACTGCTCCTCTGTGAGCCGAGGGAATTTATGCACCTCATGAAGCTCTTTTTTAAAAACTCAGCGGATGAAGTCGAAAATGCCCCGAAAAGCCTTAATTCACAAGGTTTCCACACAACTTTTATTTTCGGTAATTTCACAGACGACATTGGAAATATGAGGACATTAAAGACACCGACCTCACCGGGAACACTGATATGAGCGCTTATGGTACACTGGATAACACGGCCGCACAGCCGTGGAAATGAGAATGCGTCACGATTGCCTCCTCTGCTATTACACAGTGTTGTAATCACACACACACATTCAACACACTGAAAACTGAGGAAACATTTTAAAAAATATTAAACTGGTGAGCTGCTGCTCTCTGTTTTATGCACAAAGCGTCTCTTCTGAGATTTACTGCAGTCGTGACTGACAGGAACACGGGCTGAACTTTGATTTTGAAGTGCTTTGGGAAATCCATGTTGGGAAAACAGTTTGAGACCGAATAATTTATAGCACTTGGTCTGAAATTCTGATGGGAAGCTGCAGATAAGACATAATGATCCCCTCGTGATCCCTTGGACTCTGTGTGGATTTTTGTGGAAATGCACTTTGTAGCAGCACAAAGATTTACTTTGCAAAACTGAGCTAGGCTGCAGATTTTGCACATTAGACATGCAATATTTCGATGTCCCAAAGATGGATAGCGAACTAACTAAATAAAATAAAATACCATGCATTCCAGAGTGAATTACTTTGTAAATGCAAATTGCAAAAAGTAACAAAGAACGGTCAGCGGTTTCTACTTGTTTAGAAAGAAAGAAAACAAACCAAATATAACCCCCAGCTCAGCCTGTTTTCATTAAAGTGCTGGAAAGAAGCCCTCTCTGAGAGAAAAAAAATTGAGACTGAATATAAAACAGAAGTGCAGACCAGAATTACGCCGCTTTCATTTTAGCGAGACAGGTTCAAAGACGTGCACTGAGCCCAGTCCAAGATTTTCTCTTAGTTTTCAAATACGACCAGATGGATTGTTTTTGTTTGACTCGAGGCTTCGTCCAGGTCTTTGAAACCAGTCCCGCACGTCTGGCTGCAAAGATGGAGGTTTTAGTCTGAGTCCAGCTGATTCCTTTAGTGTACACTCTCATCACAAGACCTCAATACACATAAACAGCTAGAAAAAAGAAGAAAACAGTGCAAATACCAACGCTGTGCTTCACAACAGCTTCGCAGCGCTCCTCATCTGGAAGACGAGAGGCAGAGGTGACTGACTCTTTGGTTGCTGTCGTTAGAGTAAATTTAAAGGGATACGATACAAAAAACCTTTAAAACAGTCGTACACTGAACATATGTCTTAGTGTTGCGATGCATAAGATTTTTGAGGATCTTTGTGCAAAAAAACCCCAACAAAATTCAGATCATATCTTATACCTTAGGTCACAAGTTGTCTAAAATGTCACTACATACACATGTATCACACCCTGTTGTCTAAATGTTTCATCATTTATCACACAATTCTTAACACGTCACACAAACACAAAACAGCTTCAGTGTCTCTGTATTGTACTTTTTAAATGTATTGCACGCATTTCTTCCCCATTCCAACACTTGACACTGCATATTCTTTTCAACATAAAAGTAAATGACCATTGGCTAAATCCCTGCCCGGCATAGTGATTGTCCAGTTTCTCCACAGTGCAGAGACAGAGTTGTTCCAGTGCTCGTCAACAGGTACCGGAGAAGACCAGAGAGCCTCACGTTTCACAAGTTTATAGTGAAATTCAGGCATTGTGTCATTATTCTATAGGCACTAACTGTGCAAAACATCATCTGAAGTATGTGTAATATTGGTGTAAATCAGACAATTAATTTTATGTTATTCATATATGGTGGGGGAACTAAATATTTGATCCCCTGCTGAATTGTAAGTTTGCTCCCTTCCAAAGAAATTAATAGTCTCTTTGATGGTAGTTTCATTTTAATGGAGAGAGACAAAATATCACCCAAACATCCATCTGCTGCTTGAAGATTGTCTAGGCCAGTGTTTCCCAACCACTGTGCCGCGGCACATAGGTATGCGTGCTGTGGAAAATTATCTGGTTCCACCTGATTAGTACTCTAAGCGATCAGCCTGAGTAACAGGCAGAACAATTACATTGTCTTCCACTAGAGG